TAAAAAAAAAAAAAAAAAAAAAAAAAAAAAAAAACCAGTCGTAATGCATACAAAAAACTCAGCCAAAGCTACTATACCTTGCTCCAATTGCTAGAAACGTGAACAACAGCCATCGGTTTGGATTCGATTCAAAGGACTTAGACGCACGGAACAAACAGTACGCTGCCGATCGGGCCCAGAAGTTCTTCCTGGGACCATTTCCGGCGCGAGACTTTCGGAACGCTTTCCTTCCTACATATGCCGTCCAGGAGGACATGCCATCCAGCAAACACGCATTTAAGGACATTCCGAATGCGCCCTATAAGAACGGGAGATGTAAGTGTCTCTTCTGTGCTACTTGATTTTAATTTGCGCTGCGAATCAGACGGATCCGGACCGGACGTGGCTCGCCCCGCCAGATCGGCAAGGTCGGGGAGGTCTAACGCTGCCTGTCTGCTCTACCGCTGGGGCCTCGGCGACACCCTCAGGCTCGAGCAGATTGCTGCTAAGCTCTATGCCCTCGTTTTACGCGAGTGCAGCAATAGTGGGCGCAATTTCGGATGAGGTCGCCGACGCGTGGTAGCGCGAGGCGGGCGAGCGCACGATGGGACAGGTGTCAGATCGATTCCTTGTCTCTCTGGCGAACGGGACAACAACCATCGGGTGCAGCGATGCGGGATGTATCTGGGTGTCACGGTGCGTGTCCTATTTTCATACTCTTAATCCAACCTTAGGCCGGTCGTCGTCATGGTTGCCAGTATTCCTCTCCAGTCCGAGCTTGGGATACCCCGAGAGCGTGGCATTCGCTTGGAAGGTCCGTGTGTGACCGCACTACTTTGATCTGTGCGTTTCAATCACGAGCTGGCGATGGAGAGGTACAACCGGGGCAGGGATACGTCTAATGCACACACGGCCTCGATGGCACGCCATTCCACGGTGCAGAGGTGGAAGCCACTGGCCACAGATAAAATTCAGAATTGTAGTTCTTAAACGCTAGCCGGCGCAGTTCCTGGTGTGTTCTGAGCTCGAGTGCGTCCTTCCTTCGAAAGCTTCTATCGATGTTCCTACTCTTTAGCAAAATATAATTCGGCTAGGAAACATGATCAATTGGATCTGTACACGGACTGGGCCCGGAATTCCTAGCGAAAACTACAAGTGAGGTCCCGTACGGTGATTCTCGTTTCCCTGTGGGTAGGGCGAATTGTTTGAGTCGATCTCAGAGTCCACGGCTAGGGTTACTCATTGTGTTAGGTGATGATTAATGCGATATCAGGCCGATTACACTGAGAACGCGACGGGATAGTGCCATTAACGCAGGCTCGCTTAAAGTCCCTTGTAGGAACGGCATGGACCCGATTGGATCAACGCCTTGTACACCAAAGGATATTCGTGAAATGTGTTTACTCCAGTCCCACGAGTCCCATGTATACCTTTCGACAAAGGAAACCACTTGAGATCCGGACAAAATCTGATCTCGCAACATATCAGTTACAAAATCACATTGCTAGAACTTCGCTAATAGTACATCTCAGTCGGACAAGGTACACAAGAGTTTAGACCCCCGGCGAATGAACGCTAGCAGACCGAGATACAAACCCGATGGGAAGCCGTTCACCAGTCCTCCGGTGCCCGTCAAAACTCCCTCGGCTGCTAGGGTCTGAAAGATCCATCCTCTACACATGAGAAAGGTCATGTCAGTGCTGAATACAAGTCGAAGGGAGGGGGCATTATCGTACTAGATTTGATATCCCAGCATATCTTTGCCGATGACGAAGTCGACGAGTATGGGATCTTCGTAAATATCCCCCAGATTACGGTGGAG